TTATATATATGATGTAAAACCTCACATGTCTGTTATAATAAAACTTCAACGCTATTATAAAGATTTTCCATAGTAACACACATACAGATAAATCAAAACAACTGTGGCATACACGAAGTTTGTGAAAACGAAATACCAGATAGAAACACTACTAAAAATCTACAGGATTTTCAAAAAGGAAATATCAACCATTAACACATGTTATAAAACTGAATTCGAAATAAACAAATCCGGTAATATTGCTTGAAAGGAGAAATGTAATTTTTATAGCTTGGGTACCAATGCCGTAGCGAAATACATTATTACTGGAGTTGAGGCTAAAGCATTATATTACAGTTTCAACAAGTGTGAATACGGCAATAACGCACACACTTAATATAATGTATGATACTAAATCCAAGTATAGACTTCCAGATCCTTGTCTGTCAAATGAAGCAGAACACACTGATGAAGTACAACATTTTACAACAGACTCGGAAAGCACAATTTGTTTGGTTAGACATGTCTGAGATCAGCATAGTTGTACAATAGCCAAGTATGATGCATGGAAATATAATTCTCAAATATTGTATTAAAGTTTGATCAAACATATTTTGTCTGACAAACAATTTTTTGTTATAGCAAATGCCTGGCTTTTAAATATTTCAGTCTATTCGTGAAATTGTAGCTTATGGTTTATTGTGTGGTTGCTCATATATAGTCCATATTGTGGTAATTATTAGGCCAAACTTAAGTTGTAAATAATTTTTGCATAGCACACATTTATTTTAAATAATGATTGAGAGGAAAAAGAAAAAAACAGAGGGTATACAAACTGTTGGTTTGTTTAGATTTACCCAAAGGTCTTTGATTATAAAGTAATGAAATTACATTTTAGTGGGCTGGCTGTTCTAGGCTAGTTTCATCATTATTGCAATGTTTTAATTGATGCAATAAATCTAGATGCATAATTGGTGTATTATTGTCATGCTTTGAAATCCCACCCATTATTTCCTTTTCAATATATATAGCATTTAGAAAGCTGAGTAGGAAATTGTCATTTTAAATTTGTGATATAAATTAAAATGCTTGGCAGCATTTGGGTGAAAAATAAAAACCACTAAAAATATCAATAAAAGATAGCAATAAGCCAAAATAATATGTATAAATTATTTTTATTACAAAATATACAAAAACATCAAGAAATACATTCAAAAGTTTATTTTGTTTTTTTATTTATGTGTAAATTTATAATCTTGTTGAAAAAGTGTTTGTTTAATTTGGCATTAGTTGAAAAGAATGTACCTCACATAATGAAAATAGTGTCAATATAGTATTAGCACAACTTGTAAAGTGCAGTGTATTGTATTTATTTATATAACATTTCTACATTGTCTCACAATAGCAATCATTACACTTAACCATGTGGAATATATGTGCATCCCTGGGGAGTATCCCTGGGGTGTATTATGGTATCCCTGGGGTGTATTATGGTATCCCTGGGGTGTATTATGGTATCCCTGGGGTGTATTATGGTATCCAGCGGGAGTATTTGTAGGCCAAACCATGTATGCATATCCAGCTAGATTAGTAAGAACATTTGCAACCTACTATGTACCCCAACGTCTGGGTGTAGAAAGACAAAATGCAAATAAAATACTTAATCAAAATGAATGACTGTTTTAGGATTCGAACCTCGACCATATGGTAGAGGGCTTAAATCACAATCACTGCAGCTACCATTGTCGTGTAAGCTCATTGTAAAATTATATATCTTTTAAAAAAAATGATAAACAGAAAATTAAACTGAGGAGGCCCTGCTCCTAATCATGAAATTATAATATAGAAAAATACTTTGTTCGGTTGTTTTGTTCTGTGATATTAAATCCAGGCAAAAGATTCATTAAACAAATATTCTAGAATTCAACCAAAAATATTTAAAACAACATTTAATGTTCTTTCTATTTATTGTTTGCTTCTAGTTATACCGATCAATGAATATAATATTGTTCCAACAAGTTAAACTTGAATGAGATTGGTTTGTGCTCTTTCAAAGAAAACTGATGATATTTTATATTAATATTTTTAATAACTTTACTTCCTATCATTGATAAAAAGTACCATCGAACTAACTGAATACTCGTTATTTGTTTAATAGTTACAGTGCTTCAGTTACATTGGTTTCAAACCCATTTTCATAGATGGAAATAACCCAGGCAATGACTATGATATTGTTCTTTCAAATACAATTCAAATGCGCTAAATTTGTCGAAACATTAAATATTTTCAAAGGCAACCTTAGCACCAAACATCTCCATCAAGTGAAGGAAATTTCAAGCACTTAAATCTGAAAGAATTATAATTACAGATCAATAAACGAACACAAAATCTATCTTTGCATCGTTGGACAATAAATAATTACAATTATTCGAATTTAACCAATTGTATTTCAAGACTCCTCAGTCTGTTTTTTTCAAATATAAACATTATTCTACAATTGGATAGAATATTTTGGCAAACCTGTTGCATAATTATGTAAACACAGGTAATTACCATTTGTGCAGTCAAACATGAAATATTATATATGAAAATAGCAAACAAGAGTTCTTTGTTGTCTTAAGAATGAAGAATTTGCCAGAACAAGTTGATTCAATTTGGTTCATTGTCAACTTTTCAGTGAGATAATTGAGAATAATGAACTGAAAATTTTCTCATAAATTTACAAATTTGGTTATTCCCTCACCTTCCCCCCTCCCCACATCCCCACCTCCTTTATGGTCAGTTAAATAGGTACAATATACATATATATTATCTCAAAAAGTTGAGGAATGAATAATGTCTAAAGACTATAGATATTGTATGAAAGGAGGTGTAAAGGGTAGTTTCTGAAACGACCCTATTTCCGCTTGGTGCAATATCAATATATTCCTAAATTTTTACAGTATTTAGCACCTGATGGTGAGTGACACTATTAAATAGACATATGTCCTACCGTGGTCCTACATATTATAAAGCAGCAATTTTCATGAAGTTTTCTTACAAAAGTAAGCAATATTATTATTACAATCCGATAGTCATTTTGACAATATTTTTAAAAACTTGAAATTAAAAATAAAATTATACATAAAGTAATCAATTCATAATTGAAAGATCTGTGAAATAGCACATTAATGAAATAGCATGCCGTATGAATCATTACAAAGTGACTCAATGTTATATTCTATAACCAGTAAAATGAATCATGATATGCCATATAACTTGCTGAAAATATGAAGCAAAATGAAGTCCTTTTTCTTCAAAAAACATTGCAATCAAACCCACTCTGAGAAAAATTTTTCTGATGTTGGGGTCAACTTTTCAGGGTCATACATTGGATCCATTCTGTGTCTCCCGGGAACAGTTGAATATGAACATATATCATCGGGATCTCCGTTAATCGCAGAGCAAGCTAAATTGTCCGAGCTATTTCCTCTAGATGTAATCACTCCTGAGTCGTTTCGTAAAAGTCCTACCGACGGAGACGTCTGCGGTAGGACAGAACAACTACTACTGCGACCTGGAAAATTGTCATAGTTTTTTGAGGCAGGGGCGTGATTACCCCTCTCGCGATGGAATGTAACTTTTCCATCAATTGTTCCTGAGTTTTTCAAATCTAAATCACTATTTTCATGTGGATCTTCACGAATAGGGGTCAAAGGCTGTGCTCCTGGAGACTTGACACGCCCATGGTCAGGGTCTTCTATACTCCGAGTTCCTGACACAGCCGCGAGTCCCGTCGCAGTGACTATCTGCGGACACGATGCTGCCTTATGCACATTTTCACCCGGATCAAATGTTGATAGGTAACTGTTCGTGATGGGACTTGGTCTAGTGTTTCCGCCGTGATAATTAGTTGCATTTTGGCGTTGCTTTGTGAGTAAGATGGGATCCTGGTTAGGATCCGGCATCCAACATAGATCAGAATGTCCGTAAACTTTGCAGTCCGGCGTGCAGTGCGGACTGGCCATGTATGTACTTCTGTCTGTATAAACAAAGAAAATATGAATAATAAATAGTTTGTTAACAAAAATTTAAAAGGAATAACACTATTTATTGGTTATATAAATATCAACAATGATGACCACAAGTATAATGACCATGTTAGATACATAATGTACAAAATCATCCATGATGACCCTCATGCATTACACATAATTGACCAGTGCCACAGGTGCTTTGTGAACGGATTGTTGACTTAAACTCACTTAACTGCCATTTTTTATACACGTACGTAAGCCATGCCAGAGCAGCGCATTTTTTTTTTCCTTTACTTTAAAACAATAGCAAAAAAAAAAAATCAATTTTTCGAGAACATCCAATCATCTAACATCAATATGGCCAGTATCTACGGTAAACTTTGAAGCATTATTATACAAATCATGCGCTTTGGTGTGTGTTTGTATATTTTGTGTGAAAAACTATTTTTCGTGCGCTAAATGTGAATAAGAACATAATCTACGGTGAACCATTTCTATGTTGACTTCTGGAACTTCTTGCGTTTTGGGGAAAATAGTGAATAATAGTGAATGTTGATGAAGTGATACAGTAAATATGTATAGCACCTGTAAAGCCACAACATAGCAGTTACATAGGGCTAACACCGAGGGGGTCTATATTAGTACTTACCTCCTGTAGTTTATTGTCTTAACACAAAGTAGTCTATACAAGCATCGGAGCAAGGAAGAAGGAAAAAAGAATTGGCTTTACACGTGACGTTTCAACCGGGAATTTTTTTTTTTCAAAACCTTTAGCAAACTATGATCGATCACAGAAAATGAAAGCTAAATCAGCGAAAACACAAGGACGACTAATTTCAGCCAAAAAAACACTTGTAGATACAGTCAAACATAAAATGAATTAAATTAACTAGTTTGACGTAGGAATGTGAGAAGATCGATTTTACATAAACTTCGATTATTTTCAAAATCTTACAGAATTCATCATTTCCTTGGCAACAGGTTGTAACCATAAAAATATTTCTACCTGCTGACAAGGGAAAAAATTGATAAACTTCTCACATTTTACGAGCAAACCATGCTTAAGAGCTTCTGGTGATAAGATCTGGTCATTGATTTTTTAATTACATATTCGGCGATAGCAATGGATATACCATTACTTATTTTTTTACCGGCTGAACATCTATACTGATATTATTTTGAAAATGACACCAATATATATTTTGAAATTTATGGGCAGTATCTTTGGGAAGTGGGTCACTTGGAGACAGCCAATTGAGTAGCTAACGCAGGCTAACACAGTGATCATGCGATATTTTAGATGATATATCCTCGCAGAAGAGCAATTGAAATTTTGTTTGTGTGCGTGCGCTATAAAGGTCATCAAATCACTAGTGCAGTTGAGTTAGAGGGCTTCAGTTACAGAGAGAGCAATATTTGGTTGTAATTGTATCACATGATAGGCTTAACAAGAGACAGACTTGCCTGCTCGGCTGTAACGAGATCTGTTCTTTAACAGATGATTTAGAAACAGTTACAATTGAATACGAGCGCTGGATAATTGACTTACTTTTCAACGCATTTCTTGGGTGGTTACGGCCAACATCGTGTCTCGAGTAAGCATCATGTTCGCTGTCACCGTGTCCACTGTCGCTGCTCGGGTCCATTTCGGAGTTACTACTCATGCTGTCTGTATCATTTATTTTTAATTTATACAAAAGCCTCTGTACCTGAAATATAAACACATTTCAAAAATAATTAACCATCAGTAAATTTTATTCTATTTGAAAGTTGTTGGGGTGTTTGTATCATAGATTCTCTTTAATTTTATATATTTTATTATTTAATTAATATTATTTTTATTATTATTTGATCAGTTGTTAAAAATGCTTGAAATGTTTCTTTTTAGATGTACTGATTTGCTTAATATTTATTTTATTTAGTACTTACAAATATATTTTGTGCTATGCCTAATCCTATAACTGAGTGAGCCTGACACATACATAAATTATTAACTTTATTGCTATCATCATCACCATCCTCATAATCAGTCACTTTATGGTATCACAACTTCAAACCATTTTGATTTTGCTTGTAAATCTAAGAACAAAATTTCATGGACGGTACTGTATCAAAATTTTAATCCATAAAATGGCTTCTCTGGGTACTAAAGAATTTAATCTTTTCATAAAATTGTAATTTCAAATAGACGTAGAACACTTCAATAATGCACATTTTTTTCTAGACATAATGCATTGTCACTGTATTAATATTACTGATTGCAAAATGGTCTGTACTGAATATATTTCCTTTAATTTTCATCGTGGAATCCAAATAGATATTAAAAGTACAGGTGGTCATTTATACCGCACTACAAAAAAACAAATCAAAAGGAGTTCATTCCACTCCTGATAAGATAAAACAAGCATTTTCATTGGCTCTCTAGGACAACATTTTTCCTAGCCGCATAACGCTAATCACTTCCTAATAACAAATTATTACAAAAACAGACAAAGCGGATAAAACTACCCTAAAAAGGAACAATGCATATAAAATCTCTTTATTCAAAGCAAGCTAAGAAATCCATTTTTCATTATTTTGTATTATAATTTTCTTTAAATAAACACAAATTATCATTTTATTTTATTTATGAAGTCTAAAAGCATATATTTTTAACTTTGTTGTAAAAAAATTAATTAACATTTAAATTCATTTTTTTAATGATTATGATTTTTGTTACTATATATAAACTCGTTGTCTGCTAGTATGTAATGCTCATACTCTAAAATGTTCTTAAAATATATATGAAACTATTGAACTGTTTTCTTTAATAACTCGTTAAGCTGGGAGAACAATTTGATTACTGAAATGAAGCCATTCTGAGCTCCATTAAGGTTGGCTTAATGAACCGTCTTTGTTATTACACATAACAAATATAAATAGTCACAGCAAAGTACAATATTGATCAAGAAATATGTAAGAATTTACATGATATTAATGATGTATTTTACTGCCATGGATGTAAGCTAGTTATAGTGTTGCCAGGGTTTTGTGATTTTTTAATATAATATAGAATGGTATTGGTTACAGTAATATACAATGCATTTACATCGACTAATGAAAATGATTATATCTTACGTTATTTATATCGACTAATGAAAATGATTATATCTTATGTCTGAACAAGACTTCATAAACTTCATTACTAAACTGCAATAAAATTTTCTAAATTCAATGTTCATAGCAAACTGAATGTGAATATAATATCGTGGACATAACAATTGTTGAAGACAAACACAATATACAAACCATTACTCAAAAATTTTATCTATTTATGCTACGAAACACAACAAGTGTGAATTCACATTCACGCAGTATTCTAATGCAGCGATATAAATAATAAAATATATTTAATTTGAAAATGTTTTGAAGGGGTTTTTTTTTTAACTTGTCATCTATAGTACCACCATATTTATGCCACATAATTCTGTTGCCTCTATGGGCAGTATTGTATGACACATGCAAAGCCAACACATCTCCATCAGACAGGTTTGCGGCCATTAAGGCATAACTAATGGGATACCGAATAATCCATATTCCTATACTATACGAATAGCTTTTTGTTGTCATCCGTTTAGTTGTATGTAACATTAAACACCACTGTATAAAGGATATATTTTTACTGTTTAGGTCATGCTGTACATGCATTTGGTATTCCATTTATTATAACAGATTCTGCATAGATAACCTATAATGATATTGAACACCCCAATAATTATTGTTATATATCCATAATATATAAGATAAAGTCATTAATATAATAACAATTCTTTTATGTTGAGCAATGAAAACAGTTATAATTTTAGGTGAATCAGCTTATTTACTTTTTCCCTTAATTTTTTTCATAAATTTATAGAAAAATTATGTCAATTCATTCCTTAAATATAATTTGTCAAATTTGTCCATGAATTATAAATATTGTGTTTTCCAGCTTCACACAATATTCTTCAATGGAAGCAAGCAAGTACAAATTGTCGCAGTAGACCACACAGGATCAACCCCGCTTCTGGCCAACTTAAATTAAAACTGGCATTGGGAATTTAATTTTGAAATTTGATAGAAATGATACGCAATAGTTGTGATTTTTGTGGATGTCTAGAGGCATTTCTACCACTGTGTGATACTTATGGTTTCACCAAAGTCAAGATATAGTTGACAAGTAACAATACTAATGTGTGCAGCAGGGAACTAGAAATTTCAAATCTTGGGCTGTGCAATTCGGGATCGGCCGCTATCAGAGGTGTGATTTGTTCACCTGTTGGCCTTTTCCCGTCAACCGGCAATCTTTTATTTCATTGATATTTTATTGTATTTTTGCCTGTGTGAAGTCAAATAAATAAATAAATAATAACTAAAGAATAAAAAAAAATATAATTTTGCACATGTTTGATTCCAATATAGTCCGACTATCTAGGTTGGATGTAATAATTTATTTTTATTTCATAAGATTTGCCAATTAATTTTTATTTTTATTGTACAGTAACACATACAGACCTTAATTATTTTTATGGGGCATCTCCCTCACTATTAGGTAAAAGATGATGCTAAATCCTGTTTTGTTCACGTGTACTTATCTGTATTCATTTTTAGATTCTTCAAGTCTACTTCGCCACACAAGTCCTACATCATTATAATGACTTCCGTGAAGACATAATTTCTACTGGCAAGTATTCCAATTTCAGCAGGCATAAAAACATAATTACGTGCAGTGGCTGTATTATTTCACTGTTAGAGTTGTTTATCTATCGGGCCCCCCCATGTTTTCAGAATTAGCCATTCAACACTTCATTTTAAATACAACACTACCACTAAGTCTTCTGATTAAAATTAATTTCAGGGGAATGTAAAATCATTTCCAACTTGCGTGGGTAATTTGTCAAACAATGGTGGTACAATTGTTGCATTTTATCAAATGTCATTTTTTTTATCCAAGTCATGATTTGACCACAAAAATATGAAATGTTTGTAACTATGTCATGTTTTGAATACTAAAATACTAGCCCTAAATCTTGAATTTTTTTTAATGGATTAAATATTAAAATAAAATACCCATTGTTTATTTTAATACTAATAGCTATATGAGAAACTAATACGTTTTTGAATAGTTACAGTACTTCCATCAGACAAGCGATATTTCAACATTTCTGGGAAAAAATAAGCAATGTCGCTACATGACACGGATTGTACAAACATTTAATAATAGCATAAAACACACCATAACTAGTAAATTTTGACAAATTTAGGCACGTTAATGCAATAAACTGATTCTGAGCACCCTTTTAGAATATGCAATCTAAGAAACCTTCCTGAACTTAATTGATAACAATATCCCAACATGCTTCTGGTGGCTTAAACGAGTCGTAAGCTTTAAGCCAGTCTTCATAAAGTTCAACCTGAATAAGTTGATGTACAGTATGATATCATTAATACTCCTCAACTGCTCACTAAATTATGCTCACACCTAATTCCAATGCGAAAATTCTAAGATTGTCGGTGTTTTTGAGAGCCAGCAAATCCTTTGAGAGCTGTAAAAAGTACGCCCATTTGCATACAGAATAGATAACATTTTATGGAGCATTGCAGTTAGCCGTCTTTTGAGGATATTTTCTCCGGCGTAAATGGACTTTAGATGTAGTTACTTTAATTACATATGTACTGTGCGATGACGACTATGACTCAACGCACAAGGGAATGTGTATGTTATATTACGTTGTTGGTATCTCCTTGAATCATAATCTAAATTAAAGTTGGAGATTCTTATCACCAAAACAAAGGAAATTTTCGTACTTGTTCTAGATACAACATACCATAAATGATTTATTTTCAGCAGATTATATGTACATAAGACATGAAAATGTAGAGCAAATGATATGTAGGCTGCAACATGAAACAAAAGAGGAAAGGAATAGCATAAATATTAGTAACAACTAGGCCGACATCTGAAATACATGTTTCAATAGAAATATCATTATCAAGTGTGTTTCTAAAAATACAGGAACCAGTAGAAATATCAGTTTTATTATATAACTACATAATGCAAATAGCAACAAGCTATCAGTTTTTTCCTGTTACTAATATTAACCATGTCAAATTTATGCTATTTTTATACTTTATCATAGTAACTTGTGCATTTTACATGGGTTTCGAATCTCTCCTCCTTACACTATTACTTGGAGAAAAATTATGTCAGTGCTGGATCTAAAAACGACTGTGATCAAAGTTGAACTTGTGTGAAGAACATTGGTACAACAAATATACAGATATATCGCTTTTATTAGGAAACTTTAAAAGAAAAGCTATTTGAGCCTAGGGGCGTTGTTTAATCCTTATTCACTGGTAAGCAGGAAATGATAGATTAAGAAAAGGTCCTGAAAGATGATAAGCAAATATAGTGACAGTCGTTTTCCCCAGGGTAGGGCATTACTCAATCTATATGCAATAGGTTTTGTGAGAACGTCAATATCTCAAGTACCTGTTTACATACTCCTGGGGCAGTAACACGTTCAGCTGGTGATTTTTCATATGCTCTATGTTGTCAATCAATTTTTAATCCAATCGATATTTTTTGGATTCTACAGAGATGGAAAGCGGCAACAAACCACATTAAACCAAACGCAATATAATATGATGTTGAATGTAAATGGTGTGTTGCTTGGATAAAATTTCTATA